AAAGCTTGCACCCCCCTCCCCACATTCGAAAACTTCAAAGCAAAAAAAATTAGGCTTGGCTTATGCTCAAGAAAATGGGTTAATGCTTTCTCAACTTCCCTTTATTGACGTTCATCAAAACACATCAAATACTACGTTCAAGAGATATACTTTAACATACTGTATCTGTCACGGTTTAACGTGTATTCGGGAATCTAAGAAGCAATATTTTTCAGTGGGCGTGGCCACCGAAAATAAATTCCACGCCCCTCATATTTTTGGTCGCACCCCCCCACCAGCCCCCCATTTTAATACTGCTAGATACGCCACTGATTGTATGCCCATATATAGTAATGATGTGATGTCATCATATACATATATAGGCATGTCACATTTTGTTTGTCAAATAAAATGTCACAAGTGAGAGTTTCCTAATGGCCAAGTAAGTAGATGTTTTTTACCGTAAGTTTATTTACTGGTTTACAGTACTATAATGGCATTGCTACTTTCTCTTCAATATTCCAATTAGAAAAATATTTTTAAAAATTTCAGACATAATTATCCCATCAGTCTCCCTTACCATTAATAAAATATTTTCTCTGCACTTTGGAATTTAGATTTTATTTCACAATCAATCAAAAAGAACAACATGACTGTACGATAATATCTTCAGATGAAGCATAGTACATCATGCTAATTAATCAGCCATAAGAATAATATGGAATATGAAATTAGGCAGTCAAATCTGCCATTAGAAGTTCTCTATTCAACCGGCATAATTCATTTCTAACAATAGCAATACAGTGTTCATAATCTATATGGATTTCTTTTCAAAACCATTCTCATCAATGTTCATCGCATGTACCAGGTATTATAGGAATTGATCATTGCCCCTCCACTTGGAAATTGGTCTTGCGGGAAACATAGGGGGTTAATTGGCCAAATGAGAACCATTGGTTCTTTTTATAAACGAGTGTAAAGCCGCATGATTCTCTTAGCAAAGTAGGCTTACAGGACTGAGTTTCTTTCCCCCGAACAACTTTGGAAAACTATGAACTTTTCTCCAACAAATTAAGGATTTTATCTCTTTTCCCCAAGAAAATTGAGATGTTAATGTGTTTTCTAGAAACATTCACTATCATATTTAAAGTTTAAATGAGAAAATCATCAACTTGACTATTCAGCGGATTTCATTTTTTTCAGAATTAATTGTAAATTAGACATCACAGTAGATATTTAAAGAACATTAATGTAAATTGAAATAAGGGGTTTTAAAGTTAGGTTCATATTGCTTTAAAAACATTCATATATTAAAGTATGTTGACTTAATTGTGTAGAGCACCATAAAACACCGACATATTATTATCAAACTTCACTGGAATTCAGTACTGCAAATTCAATCACAATTGATAGTTGATAATTTCTAAATATTTAAAATATCAAATCACAATAAAAAAAAAAAAGCAATTAACAGTAAAGTAAGACTTACGTGCTGATGTAGTAGCGAAGAGAAATACACATAAATATACTGAAGACTTCATCCTGACTATCTTTTTAATAATAGGACCCTGAAGAACAAAATTTCAGTAACTCATCAATGAAAAAGAAATCTAGAAAGAATACTGTAGTATTAATATGAAGTTAAAGACATGTGAAAATTTCATTCCATCCCGACAAGGACATTCATATTTCTTGTTGATATTCACTTCTTCGGAATACAGAATACATTTCTCCCTCTAATTAAAGACCACCTCCAATTAAAGACCACTCTTTTTTGTGGTCCCAAATTCACAAATGTCTTTCATCTTTATTATTCTACTTAGAGACCAAAGCACCTAAAGACCATGGAAACCACGATCGCAAAAGTTGTCTTTAACATAAGGGAGGCCATTAGCAGTTCCTCCTTAAAAACTTTCTAATTTACTCAAAAATTAAAGACCACTTTTGTGTGGTCCTAAATAAAAAGACCATGAAAAAACCATAGTCCCAAAAATGGTCGACTGGCACAGGCCATCCAGAACCCTTTGGATAGAGTTTAATTTACATACAGTATCTATAAATTTGATAATAGATTCATTGTATTTATTTTATTCATTTTCCAGATAAACAAACATACAAGAAAAAAAAACAAGAAGAAGATGGGTTGACAAAACAAAAAGATGCAGTACTGTTTTCAGATCAAGAGAATGAGTTTTCACAATCGTGATTATTAGTGTCAAATTTGTCATTGATACTTTTGATGCAGGCCCATTAAAAAAGTAAAATGCTAGTATTCCTATAAGAATCCCCTTTTTTACAGTTTACAGTATATTCAGTTTTCTTAGTAGTAGTGTTGTCATCATGTATTAGATTAGACCGAAAGACTGGCTGAGTAGACGATGTCAACTCTCTTATAAGCGAAGGCAAAGCAGGTTGGCCTGGGCCTCATGATGAGGATTCATGCCTTCCTTGATATGGCTACATAGATACATGATGTGACTCTGATTACTGAGTGGAACCCTAGCAATTACACCTATTTATCAATGACAATATTATAATAAGAAAATAATATTATTCGCTAGTCGCACCGCTCACCTCACACTGTGGTGTGGGCGATCTGCAATGCCGGTCTTGAAAGATGATGTCACACACATTTTGGCTCTTCACTGGGTGATGGTGATGTAATGCATGATTTACCGTACCTTTAGCGAACTGAAGTAGAAATATGGTACTGTATCTCTAATCTAGGCATACCTAGCCACGACGTTTTTTAAATCATCACTTTTAGGAAAGGCAGTTTGGAAGTTTGGTATAGGGGTTTACAGTATACTCATTCTAGATCTAGCCTAGAGCTCCTCTAGGGTGGGTAAAGAAAGGCCTAGGCTTTTCTACTCTAGCCCACCCAGAGGTGACGGAACTAGGGGGTGCTATGTTATGGAGAGTAATGTGTGACCGGAAATGGTCTACATCAGTTGGTTGTTACCATGCGCCAGTGATGTTGGAGTATAGTACAGCAAGATGAAACTATTATGTAGGCCAAATGAATAAAGTTCGGAGTTTATCGGGTAGATTAATGATTATTGTACATTTTAAGCACTAGCTAAATTCATAAGTGTAAGCTAAATTATGGTGATTAATTTAATTAGCGAGGAGATTATTATTTCGAAGTTCTCTCTTTCCAAGAGGGGATGCAAATGCTTTGTGAAAATGAGTACGCCGCGGTTCTCATTTGCACAAAGAAATACACACAACTGGTTAGCTAACAATATGCCAATACATGAACACCTGGGAAGGAAGGTTCAATCACGTTGTTGCCCAGCAAACGTCTTCGTCTGTACTGTGTGGGGGGGGGGGGGCGCGTTACTGATGTACTGTAGCGGATGACGATGAGGCATACATAATAAGACTAGGGCTAGGGCTAGGCCTAACTAGACAGTGCAATAATATGTGATAGAAAGTAAACTTTCAAAAGAAATAAATTAAAATTAAATTAAAAAAAGCAAAAACAAATAACTAAGGATAATTCAGTTGCAGAGGTACCTTGTACGTATTAGGCCTACAATGCTAACAATGCGGCTCTTGTATCCCTAGCTAGCTAGGACAAGGCATCCATGTGCAAAGCAGTGGTGTTTGTTTATCCATGAAAAAAGTTTGCCTTACCAGGAAAAGGTGACGTATTCTAGCTTATGACGTATGCATGCTAACTGTATTGTGAGTGTGACGTCACCAAAAAATGAATATTTTCTATTATAACCAAAATATTAATAACTACAAGGTTTCTGGGCATAAATTCCCTTAATACAAATTAAGGGTTGCACAATCTCCCTTCCATACAAATACAGCTCCCACTGATGTCTCAGTCGAGAAATACGGGTAGCCTAGCCTAGCTGAAGTTTTTCTCGCAAATCTGACCACGAAACCATATCCAAATTTCACGTTCCACCTTTGACCCTGATTTGTGCTTCGCATTCACCGCAGAGGGCGGCGTTCCGGGAACCCTGCGTCTAGGCCTAGTATAGGAAGTCCTCTCTAGGGCCTAGGCCTGTAGCCTAGGCCCCAAGATAGGCTAGGCCTACTTCGTTACTACTGTACTATCAACTAGGCCTAGTCCTAGGACCAGGGCATAGGGCCTAGGCAAGGAGGCTAGCTTGTGTAGGCCTCGGCTATGCCAAGGTAATCCAACTATATAGTATAAAAATTGAGAATGCAAAAATAAAAGGCCATACCTTAAGTTAAATTAATGTATCTAGCACTACATCGGAACGTTAGTCCTCTATTAAATCAGATAGCCTAGATCAGCTCTAGGCAACAGACAAGACGCTTCTTGTCGCTTCTGTTTTGCAAACTCGAATTCTGCAGCACACAACACATCCATCATAGAACTAGATAGGTTGAGCAAGGTGTAGAGGGCGGGCTTGTATTTTCTCCTCCGAAGTTAAAAATAATCATCAAATTGAGGTATATTTGGTATACCAAAACGGACTTCGGTCATCTTCCAACTCCAGAGCTATAATCAGTGGCGGATCCAGTAAACGGAAAGCTGAATTCATAGATTCTTCGCATATAAAATATATGAATTCCCATTGAATAAAAAAAAAAATCACCATCAAAACACTAATTTTAATATGAATTGAATGAACAATCCTGTCTAGAAATTACGCCCGCAAAAAAAAAAAAAAAAAAAAAATTGGTTCGTGTGGGAATTGAATTGAACACACAACCACCAGGTTTGCTATCATTATCCAGCATCAACTAAATTATAAACTGCCTTAATTTTTTTTTTTAAACTGACTCGTATGGGAATCGAACCCACGACCTTAAAAAAAAAATTTTAAAATTTAAAAAAAAATTTGCCCCGTGTGGGAATCGAACCCACGATCGCCGAGTTTACTACTCCTGATCCAGCATGACTAAACAGAGGGGGGTAAACCGCGGCCCCTAAGCCATAAATGCGATAAACCTAGTACCACACCAAGTACCAGTTAGTCAACTCTAATCCTACTAGAAAAAATTCTTCGTATATATACACTGCAGGTTAATATTACGCATGGTCATGGTGTCAAACAAAAATGGGCTGTGGGCCAAGGGGGTTTATTTTTTGTCTAAAAATGTATAATTAAATTTATAATGGATTTATGATGGTTACCATCTCCATAACTTACACACCTTTTTTTAAATAGACAAAAATGTTGGAAAAATTAATTATGCAAATTAGAAAAAAATAGACCAATCATGTTACGAGATTAGATGTATTGTGCTCGTTGATGACGTCGCGAATTGCGAAATAACAACCTTTCATGTTCCAGCCTGGAAACCAGTCAATTCGAGCGGATGTCACTTCGAGCGAAGGCCAATTCGAGCGAATTCGAGCGGATTTTTTTTTCGAGCGGATGCTAGTTCGAGCGGAAGAAGATCCGCTTGTGCGAACAACAACCTGTGCGAGTTATATACGAATTACTTTAAAATATCTATTATTTCTATTTTTGAGCTAACAATTTGCTCAAGCTTTGCCTGGGTGCCAGGAGAAAGCCCCAGTCGGTTCCGTGGAAGACGCCTATAGACTTATGTATAGCAAGTCATATTTAATGGATTTTTAGGTTAACAAATAATAAAGTTCTATTATTTGTTCTGAATGTATATGGTAAGTGAATCCTATTGGGAATAGGAATTATAGCCTGTCATCTCTATCTTAGAGTAAATAAATGAATAAAGAAACGAACATACCCACATTCATAAAAATAATGATATATCTTTAATTGTACTAACTTAGTCAATGTTATCCTTTCCACAAGTTTAAAAAAAAAAACAGTGGGTTTTGAACTTTAGAAGAAAATTGGTATGATGTCATTATTACTGACACTGTTGATTGTCACAGGGGCGGATCCAACATGTTTCAAAGGGGGAGGGGGCACACAACAGTTCCGGAATAGATAAATGAGTAGCACATAATATTAATATGCATTGACATTTTTAAAATAGTGGCAAAAACCGCCCCTGTCTCACACTACTACACCATTCATTTGTGCACCTTCTGACACACCTACCTACGTAAAAATAATTTAAATTCCTATGGTGATTAACAATTACACAATTAAAGTTGCTCCCATTTACAAATATAGGCCTAAATCGTAAATCTACAAATACAATTACAAAATTATATAATTCAATTACAAATATAGTTTGCTTTTTTTAAATACAAAACCCCAATCAGTGGCGGATCTGGGGTGGGGGTGGTGGTGAATAGGGTGGCTAGCCATCCCCCTTTGTTTACCGTGAACAAAAAATAATGGTCACTTGTCTTGTGTGTGTGCTTCTCGTGCACTCTAGTAAAACATGCACTTTCTTTTTTAAGCATTTTTTCTGTGGCTTGAAGTTTTCTCAGGGCATTGCCGATTTAATCACCAAATTGGGGGACTTCGTCTTCGCTTCGCACCGTTAAAAGCTACCGTATATTAACTATTAGCACATTACAGTGGCGGATCCAGGGGGCATACTATGGGTCCTGGCTTACAAAATTCATGCTAACTGAAGGCGGATTCAGACCTTCGCCCACTGCTCCCAGGCGAAGGTCAGGGTGAGAATTCAAAATAAAATGTTAACCATTTTTCCAACAATCATACCTACTTTCCTTAACACTCATTTTGAACATAATCATTAGGAAAATGTTTAAATCCACATTATCCTATACATTACGCTTTTAAACTGATTGTACTGTAGGCACTACCAGAGAGAGAGAGGTATATTTCCAATACATCATGGTCTTCCACTTCTATAGCGCATGATACAGTGCATAGCAAACGTTATGTAACCACTAATAATACTTAGGTCCAGTGGCGTAGGTATGGACAGTGCAGTCAGTGCACAGCACTGGGGCCAGGGGCTATTGGGGCTCGTTCGATAGGTCTAATGATCTAAAAATATAACTTTAAAAAAATCCTATTTAAACTTTAAAAGGACCCTTCAATAATAATAGGTTTTAGATGCTATATATTATTGATTATATTCATTACAATTTACCTGTTACCTATTTCCCAAATGCTGCAACTAAAAAACAACAAAACGAGCCCTTACGTATACGATGCACTACTTTTTTTAAATCACATTTCTAAAGCAATAAAATATCGTCACGCACATTTGTGTTTGTGGTATTAATGTTGGTTAAACTATTATTGTGTACGTTTTCAAACATTTCAGATCATCATAACATTATGAATACATTTTAGATTCAATTCACTGCAAGTAGGTCGATGACTTTTCTATTACTGAATGGTATATGTTATTTTCGTGACGATAGACAATACCTGGATTTGCGTCAGGAGTATCAATTTGGGGGCCTGTATTTTGCCCAACCTGTCGTGAAAATATATTGAATACCCAGTGCGTGATTCAATATACATTTTTAAATCACATTTCTAAAGCAATAAAATATCGTCACGCACATTTGTATTTGTGGTATCACTGTGTCCCACTATAGCCAATTTGGCAAACCATTGGACACAATGAAAAAGAATAGATTTTTTTTGAAAATATTAAACAAGATATTTATAGTTTATCATTGTGTCCCACTATAGCCAATTTAGGGCACATAGGAAAAATTATTAGATCACTATTTTTTTTTAATCGGAACAACTGCTTCTTTTAATAGATGAGGGAGGGACTTTTTTATTTGGCAAGAATATTGTAAATATTGTATAAAAGCAGGTTTAATTTTTATTGTTTTTTAAAGAAAACGTATTTCCAATCACAAAATTACATTGTTTTTTATGCTGTTGAAAAATGATGTGGCCAAGAAAAATAAACATTCTTTTTTTAAATTTCCGCATCAATATTTCCCAATTTTGTTGACGCGGGCTGGAGTGATGATCTAATAATTTTTTTTGTATAGGCATAATTATGATCTGTTCATTGTGCTTTCGATTTTGATAATGATAGGAATGATAGGAGCACTGTATGATCAATGTGCGCCAAAATAAATAGATGATTTATTAACATAAAAAGTATGATGCCGTTTATTTGTACAATACTGCTATTGTTTATCAAATTTGTTGGAGTAATGTAGTTCATGTGGTTATAATTGGAAAGTTATTGATCTATTAGTAAATTCTATAATCTGGTTGTTGTACGCATATAGACATATTTTTTACATTGTTCATTTTATTTCTTTATTCATGTTCTTTGCAATTCATGACAAAGTAAACTCAACCATACATATTCAAAAACAGAGCGACGAAAAGGACCTCCACGAAACTCTTAGGAGCTTTTAAAATGGAGCCCCGGTGTTAAAATTAAAGTTTGTTTAGACATAAAGACAGTATATAACTGCGTAACTACAAAGATACACCCCCTCTCACCCCAACAGTCATATTTATTTGATTTACATTTATTTTGAACATTGCCATTAGGACATTGTTTAAATCCACACTAGCCTATATTTTACACTGATTGTACTGTCGGCACCAGAGACGTTCATTCCCATTACATTATGGTCTTCCATTTCTATAGCGCATAATACAGTGCATGACAAACGTCACATAACCACTACTAATTCCACCTTAATTCGGAGTCGCTCAGCTCCGTCTTACATGTGTAAATGTTCGTATTGACACTGTGTTTTTAGCATTGTTTTAAAGTAATAACCTATCAGACATTTACATGAACAACAAAACGAATGGAAATATATTTGTCTTGTTGTTTTCAGCAAAGTGGCGTATCCATATTTTAAAGAAGGGGGTGCTGATGTCATCAAGTCAGTACCATCGTGGTGGCCGGTAACGCAAAAATTTCAGTATTTTATACCACTGGATGCCCCAAAATGGAACTTACATTACCTATTAAATAATAATGTTTTTGACAAATTGAGTAAAAAAAAACCCAATTAATTAATTAGGTACCCGAAAATGAAATTTAAGTACTTACCGGTACTATTCTAAAAACTACTATATTCAACTGAGCCCCACTATGGTTGGGGCTCAGGTGAGAACATTTTGAGAAGTTGAGACCCGTTAGATGCACAAAAACCATTGAATAATACAAAATTTACGATATCCCTGAGCCCCACCATGGCTTTGGGGCGCAGATGAGTCAATTGCAAGAATTTAAGACTTTATAGATGCCCCAAAACAACACTCGGATACTTAAAATTTATGAAAATTTTAATCCATCTATCTCAGCCCACCTTGGTTGAGGCTGAGGTAAAACAATTTTAAGAATTAGAGACTTTTAGATGCAGGACTATCTCCACCTGAGCCCCGTCATGTTTATGACGGGGCCTTCATGTTTATGGCTGCATGAGATAAAGTTGGAGAATGGCACTTTAACACTTAAAATTTATGTTGGTTATTTTTTAACATTTGAAAAGGGGATGTCAACGGGACGCAACTGC